TCTTTTGTTTTGTTTCGACTTTAATTTTACCTAAGCCAATGAAAAATATCCTAGAAAAACCAAATCGAATGAATATGTTAAAAGATACACTTTGCTTTTGTTCTAAATTACAACAAATACTATATATCATGGGTATGAGGTCTCGTCATTATGTGTTATACATCCAACTAGTACGTACCCGTGCGATGCACAGAACAAATATATTAAATGAGTTATTTTCACAGCCTTGTTCGTTTAAGTCTAAAAAATAATAGGGTTATTATCTATTTTCTACCTCTTTTAATCAACATTTAAGTCTAAAAAACAATAGGGTCATTATAAGTTTTTTTCTACATCTTTTAACCAGCTTTGTTTTTTAGCCAGAACATTAAATATGAGCATGTTAGGGCTAGCTTGTAAAATAATTAATATATTATCTCACTAAAACATTTATACTAATAAAAATTTAATTTTAGCATATAAATTTATCTCTTGATATAAGAGAAAGTAACAATTTTACTTATTGTTGTTCACCATATAATATTTTATTATTATTTTATTATATAACAAAAAGAAATACTGTTAAATACTGTAGTAGAATTATTATAAAATTATATGAATTATTTTATTTTTTTTACAATATGAATTTAATATCTTTTTATGATTTGATAATATAAACAAATCTATACTTATCTTTGACTTTTCCAGCAAAGGTAAAAAAATCGGTTCTGATTTTTATCCCATAACAAATCTTTAATGTTAAGCCTATAAATACCAAAAGAAATCTGTAATTAATGTCATTCTATTTCCACCAACTATTAATTACATTTGACTTTTCTGCCTACTATTTCTAGTAAATAGGATGACTTTTTATATAAGTATAGATTAAAATCAACTGTACAAGTGAAACTTTGAGGGTAAACTAGTCCAAGGTTCAAATATCACTTTTAACTTTAGATATCCTTTTCCACTTTGGGGCAACATGCTTTTACATTATCCTACATAATTATTTGATGAGGGAATCTCTCTCTTTNGAATCAAAGACCAAAGTACAAATCATAAGGGTTGGTATTGATTCGGTTACCGAACCGATAAGAGCAAACCAATACTGTACCGATTATTTCGGTAACAACAAAATATGAAACTGTTACCGTACCGATAGTTATCAGTAACCGAATATTCGGTTACCGAAAACTCGGTTCGGTAACGGTTTTTTACCGAAAAAACTGAAATTTACCAATAAATATGCAATTTGATTAAGCTCGGTTCGGTAACGAATTTTTACTGAAAAAACCAAAATTTACCAATAATAATGCAACTTGATTAAGTTTCAACATTCATGATAAATTTTCAGTTACCGAAAACTCGGTTCAGTTTCGGCTTTGAACCGAAAAAACCAAAAAAAAAACCAACAAAATGATTCCCATTTCCAAGGCTCCCAGTATGTTCCCAGTGGCCACTTTACAGCATCAAGAAAAAAGTCCCAAGTTCACTTCCATATTCACATGCTACGGGTCCGGGGGGCTGCTGTGAGTAACTTACAGCAGCCCCAACTGTAAAATTTCAACCCTTGGATTAAGTATAAATAAAAATAGATCCAAGGGTTATAAATCATCTACATAAAAAACATCACAACTACCGTAATCTTCTTCCAACATCCCACATCCTTGTAACAGCGGCTGCTGCAAGCAAGCAAGAGGAAAAAATTAGCAGAAATATGGAGGAAAAAAATAACCTTTTGGATTGCAATAATTTTTTTTTTTTTTGGTTCAATCTTTTTTCAAATGATAAAGAGCGTTAGCATGCATTGAACGACCATGGATTTTGATAAAGAACTAATCTTTTGTTTTCGGTGAAGCTCCCGGCCAGGATGAGGAAATCGATGAGCTTCCGTTTGGCAGTTAATCGTACATAAGCAGCCTCACGTTACACTCCAGGCAGCCTCGTCTGCGCTCGTAGAGCAGGCTCCAGAGGCTTTCGTTTGGCATGTGTTAGAATATCACTTGTGAGTTGTCCCACATCGTTCATATATGGAAAATAGACCCACCTTATAAGACTAATGGGCTACTCCTCCTTCCACCAATTGGTTTTGGGATGGAACCCCATTTGGGCTTCATATGGGTTTTTTCCTTCTTTCATGGTGTCCTTCATGGTAGTGGGCCAGCACCCATTTTTTCCCCAGTTTCTGTAATGGTATCAGAGCCGGTTCTATCTTGGACCGTGTGATGACGTACCCATTGTTTATCCCCCACGTACCCCACGTACCCGTTTATATGAGCCTGTTTGTAGTAGGGCTTGGGGCACCCAGCCCAGTTGGGTTTTCTGTTTGTAGTAGGGCTTGGGGCACCCAGCCCAGTTGGGTTTGGGCTTTCAAAGGACTCACAAGTGAGGGGGCGTGTTAGAATATCACTTGTGAGTTGTCCCACATCGTTCTTATATGGAAAATAGACCCACCTTAGAAGACTAATGGGCTACTCCTCCTTCCACCGATTGGTTTTGGGATGGAACCCTATTTGGGCTTCATATGGGTTTTTTCCTTCTTTCATGGTGTCCTTCATGGTAGTGGCCAGCACCCATTTTCCCCCAGTTTCTGTCAGCATGTAATCGTACATAAGCAGCCTTGTGTTGCGATTTGAGCAGCAGTCTAGAAACTTGACGATATTCCCAGATGGACCCGAGTGTCTTTGCCTCCTTCGAGAATGAGTCGCGGACCCCACCAGCATCGAACCGGCTGTCGTTGTTGTTAAAACCGGCACGCATCGTGTCGACCAGAGCTTTTTCACATGGATCACTTCGCCGTTTTTGAGCTCCACGTGATAGACTACTCCCGAACACTCCTTACCGATCGCGTTGCCTTCCACAAGAGATTTCAGCAGTTGCTCGACCGAGAGAAATTGAGCTTCGTCTAGAATCGAGTGAATTTCCAAGAAAACGAGTCGCCGTTTCCCAACTCGGAATCTAAAGCTTCATTTTTTTCTAATATATTCAACATAAGGAATCTGCGTATATCTTCATTTTTCATCTGTCATATGGTCATGGAGTTAGTTTGAGCAATGCCCCTTGGGCATTTAGAAGTAACTCAAAAAGAGAAAAGATAAGTTTCAGTGCAAATTAAATTTTATGGCAATTTATACTTTACATCTTTTATTTATGGCTTTTTTTCTGCTGATACAGAAAATTTAGAACTCGTGATCATGGTACATAATAATTTTATGTTCTTTCTTTCTCGACATGTTGATCTACAGTTAAATGTTAATTGGCCATTAGAGTGCAATCTGAAATTGGCCATTAGAGTGCAATCTGAATCAAAGATTCTTGGAGGCACGTTTATAATTTTCGTTGCAAAAAATTGGTTAAGCACAAGCAGCTCTAAACTCTGTGGTTCAACTTAAGTAATTCTCTTTCTCAATTGCTATTCACCGCCCCCTTTTACTAGTCATCGCCCGCCCCCCCCATTTACTCTTTTGCCCTTAACCCTTTTTCAGATTCTATCTCTCTAAACTTTCTATCTCTCTAAATTCCCGAACATTCAACGAGTGATTCGAGCACCGAAAAAAATCCGAAAAAA